CAGTATCCGAGTTTCCGTGAGCCTAATGTTCTACTTTAACCCAAATCGGACTGCTTTCAAGAAATACACTCATTTGCAAATTAATTTGGCTTTCACGGGAGACTCAACTGAATCTCTCGTTTATGATATTCCACAACTGAATGTGCTGCACACAGGCCGCTTCATGCTGAGTAAAACAGTGTTGTTACAGAGACGGCCACTTAGTATCTAAGCGATGTCATTGCCGCTGCTATGGTTAGTTATCAAAGGAGTGTTTCAATAAGAGTTATAGACGTTCCACTGGGGTAGGCTGGTCCTAGCAATTTAAATGTGAGATAAGCATAGGCTGCTGTAGGCATATATCTAAGCGATTGCCGCTGCTATGGTTAGTTATCAAAGGAGTGTTCAATAAGAGATTATAGACGTTCCACTGGGGTAGGCTGGTCCTAGCCTAGTAAATGTGAGATAAGCATAGGCTGCTGTAGGCATATATCTACCTATGTTGTTAAAGATACCTCTCAGTGAAACTGATCGAGTTACGGTTAACTGACCACAAAATCGAAGGTCTAAAAATGTTTATTTGGGTGATAGAGCCACTCACTGTACTTGCTAGTAAGGAGATGGTAACATGACAAACCCCTCCCTCCACAAAGATTTAGAATGCTTGTTTGCGGGTATTTGGTCGGTAGTGATTAGCATAGCCCTTCTGAACAATCACTGGGAAGAGTTCGAATTCACCACTGACCATAAGGCAGATGAGATTCTGAACAGACCGCTGCCGGTTTCGTCCCTACTGAAGCTCATCTGATGGGCTATCCGGCCAACGCCAACATGCATATCTACTTGTACACAAGTAAGATTCGAGCCTGATGAAAACCTGGGGAACAGGTTTACCAAAAAGGGAGGAAGTGGTGGTGGGCCATCTACCGTTTTTCTCAACCTAGTCAAAAACACTGAAGATTACTTATAGATCCTGAAAATCCTTCTGAAAGAAATATGGGATGGCCTTTATAAGTACATCCTGTAGAAGGATGGTGTAACCGACAGATTCAGGTGAATTTCATCTCTGTCAGCTGTTAACAACAAGTCAGAATGTTTAGAAGTTGAAATCTAGATTCCATCACGCATGCGAAGCCAATTTCTGTCTGAAAACCTGGAAACGTTATGCGGCTGATCTTCCTTTTTTGAATTAGCTGCGGAAATCTGTAGCAAAGTCCAAAATCACAGCTGTTTCGGCAGATGTATGAACACTACCGTTCATATTAATAATGTTTACTGCTAATGACCTCCAAGAAGCACGAGACTTTTGTACAATCTTTCTAAACACTTCAGTATATGCTGGCTTCAGCTTTTTGATGATATCCCTATTCACGAAATTAGTATCTTCCCAAAACTTACAAACTCAATAATTATTTGGCGCGTGCTTTTTGTAACGAAAAGTGGTAGATGGTAGGATAATATCACACCCTCCCGGGGGCACAATAGAATAAAACTACGTATTTTCAATGATTTTTGAACCACGGTATAACTTAGAAGTAATCAGCTCAGAATGATGAATCTTCCTAAAATGACACATCACCATAAAGGTATTGCCTGGGAACAGTATTCGTCTGATCTATAAGAAGCTTTATTCACCTTCCAACGCCACGTACCCCTTTTTTCACGGCACCTGTTTACTTTCATATCAGCTTCCTCTGGCATTTGATGCAGTCTTTCTTCGGCTATCTGCATGACTGAGAATTAAGTACATCAAGGCTAACAAGCGACCGTGGAAACACGTTCGGATCAACGACTATTGGTCCAACTTGACCACCGTGTACTTTAGTACGATGATTTTCCAGCTGGCGAATACTGGGGAGCATTGTGAGTCAAGCTAAGCACAAAAACGCATCTGAGCGATTTCTGTAGATTTGCTCGTTTACGATTTAATATTTACACACACTAGATTTATTAATGCTATTCTTTTTTATCATGTGTCCACTGGTGTCATCCATGTTAACAGTGACATTGACCATGACATTATTCAACCAGTCCCGCTAATTCTCAGGCCAATATTAAAATTGTCGTACAATCAAATCAAATTCCATAATGGTGATCAGGACCATTGGATGGGTTGTTTGATCCAATTTGTTCGCCTGCTCCAAAGACCTAAAGGTGTGCAGTCAAAAACAACTAAAGTAAATTGCGAGAGGATTATTGTTTGTAAGTGAGGTAAATAATCACGGAGGTTATTCGATTTCAGTTTTACCACTTGGGCACGGCAGCTAATCTCTCCCTGAGCTTCATTTCAAGGATTCTCAGCACTGTTGCTTGCATTATTCCTCTCAAGAGGAAAAACCTCTTGGAGTCAAGGATTCAGTTTGAATATATCTCTGGCTAATTACCCCAACAAAAACCAACATGTGGTGAAGCTCAAAGATAGCTTCAGCTGAGGTTGGTTAGCCTCCAGAATGAATATAGATTTACAGCACCCAAAGAGAAATGCCTTCCCACTGTTTACTTCGGGAAACGAACCAAATTAGGGCCTTTCATCCCCTGGTATTTTGCTACATTGGGGGACCGATATAACCACGCTAAGGCCCGTAGTGCGCAAGCACACCTTGGCAGGAGAGATTCTGCCGTGACGGTGCTGTATCAGCTTTGCCTGGTTGGAAGTTTCCGTCGTTAAACCCGACAAATTATCACTAATAACACTTCAGGCTTAACCCAGATCTCAAACTTACTCATGGGTTTAATAGCTATCCCGGGGTTTTCAGTTGGAAGTATTGTATAGACATCCAAGCAAGAGAGCGTCAGTGCTGTCCAAAAACTGATATTCCCATTAGAGTATCTTACGGAGGGAACTATCTCACAGAGTTGATACTGCTTTCTCGGAAAGTGTAATGCAGAAGACTTACTACGCAGCTGAACCAGGGTTTGTCCACAAGATCAATGCCGCTAGTCAAAGTCACTTTGTCACCGTACACCAAACCCAACATCATCTGTCGATTCACATGTCTGCTCTTCGCCAACTCCCTAGGAAGTACATAACGGTAACTTCGATTGGTTGTGGGGAGCAAGTGCTGTTGAGAGTACAAAGTTAACTGGCTGAAAATCACTAGCTTTTCTTGACACTGACTCTGGAGTTTCAAACTTCCGGTTAAGCCTTTGGCATGGAACTCCGCTTGTTTTTACATTTTCACCAGATCTGTATTTTCCTCCTTGTCTGACGTGTTAAATAAATCAGTTTTAACTTGTCTATCTGTGCCATTGTGCTTCTACCTTCTATTGATGAAAGGATGGGTTCAAATGTTCATAGCAACCGACAGTAGTAGTAAAACTTCTTTGGAATCGACTGACAATTCGCGTTTGTGAATATTGAATCTTTTTTAAAACTGACAACTTATTGGTGTCTGTCGTATACAAGGTAATCTACGGCTGCTTGGAACTTATGTGATACGTTCCCTGCGGGTACGCTTTGCCACATTAGTGGTACGTCTGTGCCACGTGAGCGGCCCTCCACGTTTGGTCTATGATTGTCAAACAGGGTTTCGGTTAGTAGGCTTTCATTTTGTCAGTGGGATCTACGCTTCATTATTGTAAGTCGGTCAAAATGAACTTTATGTTCACTGAGGTGTTTATGGACCGCAACTACCAGGTTGAGCAACAGTGAAGTCGAAACCTTGTAGCTTCAGTGAGAATGGGGTAGTGAGTAAAGCTGCCCAGAATGCATTTGATCGGATGAGGTATATGCCTTGGTTTGTTGAACACTTCACCTTTCCAGGCGAGAAATTACTGTCGTGATGTCCTGTTCACTTAAATATTATGGACTAATTTTACGCAGCCAGCTCTCCAACGGGGCCAGTGTACTTTCAAGGTCTAGCTTCTGCTATAACCACATCGCAGGTAGAATTACACAGGATTGCTACAAGTATACACATTTGTCTCTCGAGAAGCGCTTTGTTAGTTGCCTAGGCTATCAAAATCATTGGCAGCATCGCGGAGAGGAAAACACCGGGGGGTTCCCTCCGGTTAAAATTAGTGGATTATGCTTACACTTATATGCTGAGCTGGTCATCACATACAAATAGTTGCGGGATTTATTAAATTTGAATCTTGTTCCTCGTATGAATAATCGTGCTCATGATCTGGTCCGTCATTAAAAGAATCAATAGGCTCAATGTCACTTCTATTAAAATTCACCGGAAGTTCATAACCTCGAAACTCTGTCCATATTTGGAAACATCTCTCTAAAAAACCTCAGCTGGCCCATTCAAAAATGCAACTCGCACTTTCAAATCAGTAACTAAAAATTGCCGGACATCTGCCACTACTTTGAACTTGTCAACCGGGCGCATCCTTCTCGTTCTGAGGAGTTCTTACTTCGCGGTTTGTGTATGGCAAAAAGGCATGTATCGAGCTTTCAGTTCAATTATTCAGCAGGCTTTGTAAATCTTTAGAGGGAAGCTATTTTTTAGACGATATGTTCTAGGTATGGGCAGCTGGTACTTCATAAGTAGTTACAGGCCAGTTGATTCATCCATCAACCGAGGAGAATTCAGACCGAGGATTCTCAATGCTGTCCAACCCTTACACAGGAAAGCCTGAATTTAGTAACATAATTCATTCACATCACCCACGCTATACGTGCAACCACAGAATTGAGGCTGTTGGAACGAGAGTTGCGTTTTGTTTTGTAAATGGGTACAGGAACCCAGCTTTAGACGAGCAGTAATAAAAATTACCTAATGCTTACTTCTGCACTGAGGTTTTACGGATCACCTTGGTTGAAGTCCCGCAGTCTTTGCAGCTGACCCACAGGAGGATACGCACATTAAATATGATGAACTCAAGTGTCTAATTGCCTTCTCACACATACTGGCGAAGTTGGACGCGCTGGTGATTCATTATTGTAGTTTGACTGCTGAAACTTTTCTGTCAGCCTTCATAGCGTTATACACCTGAACATGTTTTATGGGCGCTTTTTCAAATGAGAGATAATAGATGCTGATTTGGGCAAATGCTAAGATTCACTACTCACCAGTTAGTGCCCTTAGTTCTCGTTCTGGATTGAGCACAAGCAATTCGTATCGAATAATAATGCATCGTTTTGGCCCGACTCGTTGGCAAGCGCTAATTATTTGAAGATTTTCCCTCATCCATCTATGCAGAGTGTCGTACAAGTATGGAAGCGTGTGCGAACCCCATCTGTAAAATTAAGTTGAATAAAATGAGTTAAATAATTTCCCCACTGCATCGACGACTCATGAACTACAAATATTATTATGTTGGCGGTCTTTGTACTGCAATAAAAACTAACTGTTCCTAATAAATACCCGTATGTATATGTTCCTCACCGTGCTAAGCATGATGATTCCACTTTTTCAGCACTACATGGTTCGTTGTGTCTTCAATATTCAGTTACTATTCGGTTGCCCTCTCGCCATCGATAATGGTCGTAATATGTGTTGCATTCAGTTTGTTTGAAAGTGATTGGGTTTGTGTGAACCGTATGGACTGGGTGGATTATTTACTCCTCTTTGGACACGCTAGCTCGTTGACTGTCTATACCAGGTGAGTGTCTCCATTGGTATTGACGTGCTTGTCAAACTTAGGACCATCAGTCTGTTGCCTGTGTGGGCTGAGTACGAGCACTTGGTCATAAGTTTGTCAGTGAAATTGCATCCATCACCCCATACCTGTAGTCTGTGCTTTCGGAAACGGTGATTTAGAATTTACACCATTTGCTAGAGGTACATTAATAAGATTTAAAAGGCTCTGTTATGTGTTACAACCAGTTAGTGTATTACTTGATCAGCTCCAGCAGCGCGCTCAAAGGCTATTAGAACAGCCGGTGACACTGAATAAGACAAGCGTTCGCATAATGACCTTTTATAAACGACAGATCTGAAAAAAATCCTGTTTGTAAAAATAACCTTATCAATTTACCTACTCAGGAGTAGTCACGATTCACTAAGGGTTTATTCAGATGACTGAAATAATAGACTGATGTTGTGACACTTGTGACGAATTTTTGCGTTTGTTTAAGTTCATAGGTAGGGAGCAGTGCATCTATCTTAAGCAGACCAAAAGCAAACAAACCAGCAACAACGAAAAGGAAGCCTAAACCTAATTCTTAAGTCCAAGAAAAGAGTTGTAGGACGTGAATTTAGTAGTGGTGTTCTTGAGGCAACGACCTGAAAGCTGATACTTCAAAAGCAACCTCATTCGAGTGCAAAGCGAAGACGAAATTTAGAATACCTGGTACAGGTTAACGATGAAGGCCGACAAAACTTCTCCAAACCCCTGAGAATGAAACCTCACCAAAATTCAACAAAAACAATTAAATATAATTGACGCAAAAGTTGAATCGTTTTACTAATGGTGACCGAGTGTGAGTAAAAGGAACCAATAATCTATCTGCATTTGTTTGGCTAATCTGGGGACATGCATTGTTTTTTAAACCGTTTACCTTCGTAGTTCTACAGGTAAACTATCAGGAAATTAAGATTCCTAAATACCCGAAAACTAGTGGGACCTTCGAACTCCACTACACGCCTGATCAAACAGCCTTGGGTCGAGGTCAGACAGTGCTCCCCGAATAGATAGCTAGAGTCCCTGTACTTTTCACACTCACTCGCTTGTTCGCCTTAAAGCTGTTGTGTTCCTTGTCGGCGAGTCTTCTTCCGGCAGTAGGCACTGGAGCGGGGACAGCATTCTGATATAACATAAACCCAAATGGCGAATATACACTCATTTGCAAATTTGGTTTTCGAGAGACTCAGCTGAAACCCAGCTGAATCTCTCGTTTGTGATGTTGTCAGGCTGTTTTCTATTAGAAACCGGAATAAAGTGGCGTGCGCACAAAGATTGCTCATATGAGCAAAGGTGTTCGGCAGGAACTGAGTTTATTCCCATACTATAAGCAAGCGGGTTATTACCTCACTGAATTTCTCTTCAACGCTGTGATCAAAACTTATCTTAGCTATGTTTTACCGCGCTTTTGTTTCCTTAAAACATGAGCCGTTCTGTACGGTCTAACTTGCATGAGTAGTAATCTTGCTTACAAGGATATTTGGAGTTGAGTTTAAAAAATAGAGAACCTGCAGTTTGTTATTCACCAACGTGTCATAACTGAAAACATGTACACTTGCACATTTTATGTTTCTGTATCAATCGTTTCAACTGGTAACTTTTTGAATAACACTCCAGCAAAAATCCTCAACCATAACTAATATAGACTAAAGCTTCAGTATAGCGTGTCCCGTAAGTCTGTGCAAGTGTTGTCATAAGCAAAGCAGGAGCTAATATTTCAGATACAGCATGACAGACCTCTGAAAGGCAATGTTTACCACATTTTTTTTAGAACAAACTGAACAACCCTATTTTACAACGAAATGGACATTGCCTTGATAGGAGCGAAATATTCAATGTAAACTTTTGCAACTGAGCTGCAAAACGAAAGGTTAATTACAATGATTTAAAATTGCAACATTTCTGCATTTTTTTATTTTGAACCTCTTAGGTGGTGCTTGGAGTCCTCTGAATATGCAAGAAAAGCAAACGTCTAAAATGTATTCGGTATATAAATAGATATGGACGAATAAGCTTTACCCTCTTCTGCATTCAGTTTTGTTTACATTAACCCGACAAAATGCCAAGAATATACCGAATTAAACTGGAACAGTAAATTTCATCACCAGCAACTGAAACGGTTAACAGATTCCTGGTTAGAAAGTAATTCTAGTATAGCAGCTTCGAAACGAGTCATCACTTCGCTGCCTCCAATCAATGTAGAAAGTGAATTTCTGTTTCTTATCATTGGTCGAACTTTTTGTTCATCTGTTTATACGTGGAGTATTGAGCAACAGCCCTGCTTTCATAAACGTTCTGCTCAAAGGAAGTCAGGACAACACGCCAACTTAAGTAATCAACCATGATCCAACAGAGCACTGACCGTTCATCAGGTTATCAAAAGTTCTAACAGTTGCTTATTAACGAAATTGATTCAGGATATTTACAGCCCCTAATGAGTGGCAAACAGAAGAGCGGTTTTTTGAAACGAGCCCAACTTGTTAATTACTACAAAAATTAGTTTGCCCCAAAACACAGCACACAAGGCTCAGTCTACTTTTGCGGAAAATATGGAGGCTTTACAGAAGTAATCATTTAGCTGTAGTTACAAACTTTCAGCACTAAACAATTTTTGAATGCATCTTTTTCTCCGGTTACCTCACAACAAACTGTTTGACTGTAGCTGAAGAAATAAACTGGATACCTCCGTGGATTCGACCTTTCCGCGCATTCTACAGAAATTCACATCAATGTGTATTAACATTTATAATAAAGGGACGGAGCTATGCTTGTCTCATTTTATGATAAAGATAAGCTGAAATACGTTTCATACAAGGCAGGCTATGCAGTTGTATTTCCTCAACCTGGAACCCAACGCCTTCGATTTGGGAGCGCGCGATAACTGCAGATCGTGCAGCAGACCCGCGCCAGTCGTCAGAGATGCTGGTAGCATGCTCCCACTTTACTGAAACACAAAAAATGTATTTAGATCGAAACAGCCCTTCAAATATCCCTTTCTTGAATATTTTCATGCATTTTTATTGTTGCAAAATGTTATGGTCAAACACATGTGGACGTTTATCTAACATAGATCCAGGACTTCCCTGTCTACATGGCCTCCTTCTTTTGATAATTTATGAGTGTCTACTTTCTTCCAAAACTTTGTTACAGACGTAAAGAAAGGATCGGAGCAGGTAATTCAGCGAAACACTTCATTAAGTATGGCGCTTCACCTGTTGCTAAATGGTCGGTGAACAATGAGGATCCATAGCATATTCAGCAGGTGGACAAATTCCAGCAGAGTCTGAAATTCGCGATATTTCTGATGAGATTTGTTCTATTCTGGCTGGCTCATCGGCCTCCAAGGCCAAGAACTTTTTTCAAACACAATCGCCAATTTTGGAATACGAAGGGACGGGTTTGACCGATGGAAATGGTCTGTTTATTTGGCTTTCGTCTAGAGAGGTCGCGCCCCTACCACGTTGTTCGATCTTGCCAATAGACCTGACTGAGCAGACCGGCACGTGGGTGTACTTGAGATTTACGAACAAGCCAGCCAGCCAAATGAGGATAGCAATAGATAGTAGACGAGGGATAAAGAACCTAGGAAGTGTGAAGCCTCGAATTTGAGTGATGGCGCTTGCTCTCCTTGACAAACTTCCCCCGTCAACGTGTATGAAACTTGTCAACTTATGTTCCAGCCTAGGCGCGCATCTTATGACAATGCTAATTACTCGGGTAGTTTGAATATTTCTGAACAGACGGCTTGTTTTCTGTGGGTAGTTTGAAGAGTCTAAAGATGAGTTACAGCCACTATGCAGGTACAATTATATTCATAACAGGCTTGGTCCCCATTGCTCATGCGGTATATTGCCTCTGTAATAAATGTACCGTTTGCTTTTTTAAATTGAAAAAGTGTAATCGGATCTCTAAAGGCTGATGAAGATTTCTGAAACAGGTAGAAAAGCAGGCAGCTGAGTGAATGATTGGCGTGGCTGTGTTATTACCTAATCGCATCGCGCCTATCAGCTTCCCCGTAAATATCCAGTGAAATCCGAAGTTCGTGACTTGGTTGAGATCAAGGGTTGATGTTTAAAGATTCATTCCGCCTAACCGCTATACAAACGGATTTTGTGGATAAGCCAGTATTTCGTTATAGCCCAAATTACATTAGAATACCATCCTCTTCCTAGTGGCCTGGCCATCTCGGAATACTTGATTTATTTACTGTTTTTGAATTATCGCTAGACAGGAGGTTCCACACTTTTCCTGATGTCTTCAGATTTTCACTATGATTCTCTATGTCTGAAAAGAATTAAACATTTAAGCCAGAATTTTGCCCTTATTGTAACTCCGGTTTCAATGGTAAAACGTGACTTACCTTGGTGCGAATTTGGCAGCTGTTAAAACAAAGGGCTTATCTAGGTTTAAGAATATCGACCTTAATTTGATTAACGATCAGAATCATACAAGGTGGGGATTAGCATTTACTGATCGAAGTCAAAGGGCAACATATCATTGATTATGCCCACATTAGTATTACCAAATAAACTTAGTCACTGGCGTTTTGAACGACCATTTCTTCCTTCAAAGTGGCTGGGTGGAATATCGTTTTCAAAATCTCATTATGGCATTAGTAGCCCAAGTGTTTTCCTTGGCAGTTAATCAAGTGGCTGTGTGCTATACTCTCCTGTCAGTTCGCTTGCTAACAATAGCCACTTCTGATGCCACACAGATTGGTGTCAAAACTTCGACAAGCTAATTTTTAAGCTTGGAGAAAGGATCAGCACTCAGGGGATCAAATACCGTGGACTCCAACTGGACTTCTAGGTCTGTTGCCATACGGGAACCTGGTTACTGTATTCAATGGGCTTTCGACGTTTCATTTGAATTTGAACTAAAGGCAGAAAAGATATGCCTTACTGACATCTACAGGCGTTGTCCTGCAGAAGCAATGTAAATTAGTCTTTCTGTCTTTTAGGTATCCCAACGGCCAGCTTTGTTCGCATTATCGCCCGATTGTCCTGCAGAAGCAATATAAATTAGTCTTTCTGTGTCTTTTAGGTATCCCAAACGGCCAGCTTTGTTCGCATTATCGCCTGTGAATAATGGCCCCAATTCACTTTTTATCAGATCATTAATAAAAGCTCAAAAAGTTAATTGGTTAAGGCGCTAGGTTACTCACCGGGAGATCCATGGTTCGGACCTAAATCCCAGGATCTCGACTGTTCCCGTCTAATATTAGGCAACCCGATAGTATCTTCGCCCTCCCGCCCCCCTACTGGCTTGCTAGCTAGGCTCCAAAAGGATATTACAGCTGTACGGTTACTATTGCATATATATATATATATCTTGCTCATTAACGGAACTAATGTCAGAATAGCTGAACTCTATAGAAGTTAAAAAATATTCACGCTGAACTTTTGTGTGGTCACATTTCCTATAATGTGACCTTATCGGTGTACCCTGTCAACTGCAGGTTATTCACATCCATGAATAAGTGGCGTTGCGCTGAGCTACGGTTGTGGATCCAACCCAAACAGCTATGTGACCTGCATTGCTGACGGTTCTTAAGGAAGAGCCGTATAAGCTCCTTCCGTAGTTCAGTATAAATAGATCTGACTTGCAGGATGAAACCGTATCTGGAACTTCTGAGTCGTTCAAAAAGACGGAATATAAGTTTTTTTTATAAAAAAACTAATTAACTTGTGGAATATGTATAAGCAAACATGTAGATTCAGATTCAAGTCGTTGTGAGTAAAAGAAAGGCACAGGATGGCTACTTAAACTGGGTTTTTGACTATGTGACAGATTCCGTCGTATCTTGGCTGCGAGCCATAAATCTCTAACTGCTGACAGTTCTTGGAAGCATTTTTCCCATAAAACTTCCCTATGTTATTCGTTTTCCACCTTTTCTTCCATTATAGTCCTGTTAGAACAAGCAAAAACTCTCTGGGGTGTTGGTTAGGCTGTATCTTTAGGACTTGTCTATGTCAGGTTAGTTGCCCCCAGGAATAACCTTTAGTGAGCCTGCATTTTTCACTTGCCTATTATTTACGCATTATCAACATTGGAGTTGCCACCGCACGGATGCTGCCTACAGAGTAGTCATCGCGTGCCGGCAGCCATCTTACTTTGTAGACCCAACGACAGGCGTAGTCATCGCCGGCAGCCATCTTACTTTGTAGACCCAACGACAGGCAAACTTTTGCACCCGCAAAGAAACATCCCGTAAAGTTACTTGCTTGCTGCCTGCAATTTTATCGGGCTATTGTCTCCTCCACGGGTGTTGCAAGCTAGCTAAAGCTCTCTAGCAACCAAAACCAACCAACCAGCCACGCTATGTAGTTCATGCTCTCCCCTTAGATTATGCGACATGCAACTTATGGTATCATACATTCGAAATCTGCCTCGGGAAAAGTGTAAGACGAAGCAGCCGACTAACTGGCATGTGTAGCACAGTCAATCCAGCCTACCTGGTGCAGCCGAATCAATTCTTCGTGCTCCGACCTTCCTAATCCGATGTTCGCATGAGACGGGAGCACAACTTCAAAGTCATCAATGGCCGAGGATTGGGAAAATTCGTTTTTGTTCGGGGAACTGTGGTCAAGCTTCAAACGCGTAAGGCAACGTTGCACGTGGTAAATGCTGTGGACTCTGTCTTTAACCGGCAAGCTTGTCACATAGATCTGGAGATGTCAAAGTTACAGTAAAGCAGGATGTTGTGCAAGCATCAAACATTTTGACAGAACTTTACACTTTGCGGGCGCAAAGTACATACTGAATAGCACGGTAACACCATTTGCACCCGGAACAAAGTAGCACAACACTTTCCGCATGCTTCAGGTACTTAGGATTTTTTCGGGAGGAAGTTCCACCTCAGAGGTTGGAGATATACCAAAGGTTTCTTTGACTACCGAGTTGAAAGGGACGGGTGACAAAGGGCAAAGGACACTACCTTTCAGCGATGATTGCAGAGGAATACTCTCTGTAGACTTTCACAAGCCAAAGGGTATTGAAGTATAAGGATTGGTGCAGTGTGGTAAAAGTTTTCGGTACACCTTTGAAGTGGCCTTTAAGGACTTGTTTCAGGGTAAAGGTATGGTTGAAGCATTCGAAATATGGACCGAACCCTGCCTAGTCTCTGCAACTCTACCTCTCGCAGAGTCACTAATTCTGCGTAGAATGACAAAATGACACCCATGAGCTACTCAGAGGCGAAAGTGCCGAACTGATGCATCGATGATTCTCAGATCTGGATCTAATGTCTTTTTAAACAGTGGGAGTTCAGAGTATGCCACTAATGCCCCAGGTACTTCATTTGCTTCCAAAGCGCCCTACGTGATTTATCCTTCATCCTTAAAAAAGACAGAAAGAGACGGTCAATGCCGTATACCTTGTTCCATTTTAGAAGTTTTACTTCGTTTTCGATTTCATCTTCTATGAGAATGGAGAGTGCCATCAAAAGCTAACTAGTATTTAGTCAGTCCATATCTTCCATTGATTAGGTTTAAAAGGGCGCTAATGCAATGCTCATGTGCGTCCGATAAACGGATGCCAGTCAGTGCAGATCGGTACGGAAAAATCACCGCTGTAGAATCCATGAGCATCTACACCAGATCTTCTACGAATATGGCCACTGCTCATGGATCTTTCCGGAAGGAATATTAAAAATTGCCAGCTGGAATGTCGATATCTTGTCTGGCTTTTCAATGATGTGGCCTATCTGATTATCCTGTGCTCATCATCTGTGCTCATACATCTGCTATGTGGACATAATATAGGCCTCCTGTATCACAATATATAAAAGTTTCTATACACCTTCTCTCCACCTACAGCAGGAAAGAAAGTTATTATATTCGAGATAACTTCTCCCCAAAGTAAATTTATTCTGCTCTTTAATCTGTTTAACATATACTATATTTTATTCCGACACACTTCTACGATTAATAATTTGCAATGAGTCACTGAATCAGGCTTTCATAATGATGTTTCGTGACACGCGTAGCGGTGCTGATGAGATCAGACGATTCGCCATACTAACCATGGTGTCATGTTGTATCAGATCTGATCAATAGCCCTTCCAATGTGGCTGAAAAACACTCAATTATCTGTTCTCTATCGATTAGTCTTTCAGGGTTTAATAGTCAAAAGCAAGTCTATGTACAGTGTGAAACCACAGGTCTATCGCTTGTGTGATATATTTGCAATCCCCCAGGAGCGACAGAACAAGATTTAGTTAATGAGACGTAGCTCAAGGACCCAATTCGCTCTGGAGACAGGACGCTGACGGGATCATCTACTTCTGTTCAATTATTGCATTGCTGTTGATCCCATGTGGGTACCATTTCCCGCGACGGGTACTGCCGAAATTCCAGAACAATTTTGCAGAATCCAATTACCCTACGCGTCTTAGATGATCTACCCACTCACACAGGTTCATTCTCTTCTACAGCTTTTTGTGCTGCGTCCCCCTGCACACGCATACCACATTCATAACCATTTACCACAGGTGACGAAATGTCCTGCTCAGACTAGGATAGGATGGTGCAAAAACATTAGGGTGCCCAAGGGTTTGTGAAAATAACCATGTATGCACCTGAACTATTTTATCTATCACCTAAAAGCAAAGCCTTGTTCTCACTGGATCCAATTAATCAGTGAAGTGTGACCGTTTTTACTTAACAATATCTTAAAAGTCAGTGTGAGAGAGCTAGAGTAATGGGGAATTACAGTGCTCATCAGGAGATGTTTAATCCGTAAAAGATATTTTTATTCTTGTGCTTTGTTTTGTTTTCTCCTCCTAGTCTGCTTGGTTCTTTCACTCGTTCTATCAAAAAGGGACAGATTACGATGATGTGGCAAGTTTGATCCCATCATGAGTTACCTGTCTGACATTGAAGCCATAATGATAAACTAGAAATAGGTAAATAAATAAGGTGGAACTGTATGGAGTTTGAATTTTCTGATAATAAGCGTCATGCGATCTCCTTTTTATCTAAGTGACATTCCGGGTGTTACCATCAAATCAGTATTATTCCAATATTCATTGGCCGTTGATTTGATCTCCTATGTATGAATTTGTAGATCGAGGAAAATTTCAGGGTTGGTGGTTCACTGTTTTTGAACCGATCGAAATACGTTTCATCAAAATATTACGTGTAATGTGCCATCCATTGAAAATATAATATACACTTCGTGGCAAAACCCAATGTAAACAACAAAAAATATCTGATCTAATATCTATCTAATTGAAAGTACAGACTAAAAGTTTGATTAGATATGACGTTTGTAATGTATGTGCACTTTTGCGATAAATTTGAGATGAATTAAGGAGTGTACTAACAATTCCCTGAATACTGAAACTAACCTCTCATTAGAAACTGCGACGGCTCGCCCATCTCTCAGCATAACCACAAATTGAGAGTCGAGAAATATGCGCGCCAGATATTCCATATAAAGAAGTACCTCTGGTCGTTTGTAACACAAAATTCTCGCCGGTGGTCCCATTCCTTCAGCGATCTGACGGATGTATTGAGCAGTGGCCCAGTCAAGCAGATCTGGAGGGATTCCCGACTCTGTGGACGAGTTCACATGTAACGAAGGCGTACGGTGTCGAATTTCTAGAATGGGCTTTATAACCATGCCTTCGGGACCACAGTGTATCCATGGGTGCACATCTAACAAAACGCGCATTAGTGTTGTACCTTTGGAGATAAAATTAAAATGTGATGATATGCTGGGAAATCAGCTGTTCAACTGAAGATGCCCAAATAATGCGACCACTTAGTGGCGTGATGCACTGGACGAAAAGATTCAAAAGTGCGGTAAAAAGAACCTGTCAAGAAAGACAATTATTAGTGGGAACTTCTTCATCAGTATGACAGTGATTAGCGAATATACGTAATACTTGGGTTCGTGTGTCCATCGCTTTCGGCTTTTTTACTGGTGATTATGCGAAGAAATGAACCGAGCTTAGCTATGTGTAGACAATTTTATTGTCTGAGTCATCAAATTTGCTCACAGGTAGCGTCCTTTAAGTGTATGTAAAGAGAGAAATTTTTATTAGCTTGCGTATGCAAAAGTAATCGAAGTGATGTTACAAAAATAATTAAAATCAAAGAATTTGCTGTTGAAAGTGTCACCGAGTAAAATAAAAACTGGTACTTTTGAGATGCTAACTGAATGATGCAGCGTAATTAGTCGTCATCTAAAATATCTGGCGTATATTAATGTTCATCAAATAGGTTGTGCATGTGTCACCTGGTAGATTTGCAACGTGTTCTCAGGTTTTGCAACAAACCCATATTACCTCTTTGCCATTGATTAACAGACATGGGTGAGTACGTGGGCGTATGGAAAGAAGTGTGTATGCTTCGACTTCATCAATACTTGAAGGCCGGGATGCACAGCACTTTTAGAGTCGGTCCTTATTCAGTCAGAATTCCACCGTAGCTGACTCAAAGTTACATTTTTTGATATAGGTATCAGGATTCTGATGGAATTCCATCTCTTTTTTTGGTGCTATTTCACGACTCTTCATGTCGTGTATCGGTCGCGCCTATTTTCAACCCTGGAGACAAAGTGATAAGTTGCTGTTTTGAATCTTTTGTGTTTTATCGTTGGCTGGTGACACTCCACCTGTTTACTGTGTAGTGAGTTTTCTTCAGTCACTTGTACTTGCGTCCTCTCTCAGGAATCTCTGCTAGAAATCGTCATGTTTGCACAGTTTGTTCAAGAACTGCGTTCACTACCAATATCGAAAACAAGTAGCTTTTAGTGACGACTCAAAGGCCAAACAAGCATCATGTTTCTGAATGAACACAAACCAAGAGTAGGCGTTGGCTTTTTAATGGCAAACCCACTGGCCTCCATTCCTTTTATTAGCAGTGGATGGAGACAATCAAAAGGATCTCCGTGTTCGGTCACAAAACTGTCGCTGATATGAGGTTGTTATGGATATTTAACCACTCTTTCCCTCCCCTTAATTAGCACGGGAAATTTTCGGAAGCCTTTTACCGATTTTAAATAGGAAACAAGTAAATACAAACTAGAATGATGAGTATTATCCAACCTCTGATGGTAAACTGCTTGCGGACATTCTTTCTGTTTTATCTTAACGTGGCAACAGTAGCAGCTTCTCAAATTCTGACGTTTGACCATTAAAGCTGCGCTGCGATATTTCCTTGATTCTATTTCGACTACTCCCGTTGTAGACATCATGGATAAGAATTCTGTCAGCTCCTAAGCTTTCTGAGCTTCTGATTTGTGCACCCACGGTTTTCATCCTTGAACTAGCATGAAGCTTTCGGAGGGGGACAAGAATTGAATGTGAACTGATCTAGTTGTATTCGGAACTGGGTTTGAGTTAAAGAAAGTTCGTCAAGCTGGATTATGATTCTCACCGCACAAATGGTTCCCAGAAGGTTAGGACTGGTGCATACAAAGTCACAACGAATGTTACAGTGAATATGTTACAGCACCAAACAGGACTTAATAAGCAGTCTGTTGGGTCTGTTTCACTATACATAGAATCAATCTAACTGTAAACTCTAGATTAATCAATCCCAAGTTAACACTTCCTGACGGTATCACTCGTTCGTAGTAGTGACCCAAAGGGGGGACACCATGAGTGCATTAGCGCACTGACCTAATTTATCCGTTTATTTTTGTGGTGATTTCATCATAGTAATCCTTATCGAAATTTCCTTGGAATATGGGCCACTACCTTGGAGAGACCATGACAGAGCTTTCCGTTAACCACAGTTCAGTGAAACACTCCAACCACAGGCCTCCAGTTGAAATACCCAAGACGTCTCCCTTCCTCCTAGTCTTTTCCAAGGGATTACTATACTTTATTTGATGAGGCGTTTTTCTGACCTCCTGAGAGATTGCCTACCCCCAAAGGGTCACTCTTGGGGGGTCGTGACCTCCACCCATGACTTTAAAAATGGATATCGATATTAGGTATTCAGTTATGGTCGGTGGTTTACAAACACGGCACTTTTCCAGTTGGAGTAAATGAGACGCACCAATTTTTCAGCCTTGGAATACATCACTGCACGCTTGTCCGAAGCCGTCTTATACCAAAAACTAGTGGACAGCGCGTGATAAAACCTCTTGCCTTTTAAATAGGCATTCAGGTCAAGCGAGAAGTTTGGTGGATACCCTTCTAGCCTAATTCACCCATTGTATGTTCCTGTGATTCCTCGTATCGTTTCTGGTTTCAGTATTGCAGGGCCTGCTTTATCGTAAAAATTTCCTGTCCTTTCGACATCTTTGTTAACCCGATTTTATATATATGCGTAATTTCCATCTTGCATTTGAGCATCACAAGTGTATTATATCTGTATTGACGCAAAGGCGACTCACTCATTCTTTTGCTAAAAAGGTCGTGATAGTTGACGTAAGAAGGTTGAGAGGGAGGTAAGAAAGAGGCAGATAAAAGCGAGATAACAAGATTCGAATTTCGAATTAATTAATTAATTAAGGCAAATAATAGGGCAAGTTAAGCAAATAAACCCACATTTTCCCTCTTAAAAAATGTTTTCTGCATAGTCAGTGCAACAATTTATTTCTGCAATAGCTATTCTGACAATATTCCAGTTTGCTGATATCCAACTAAGTATATTAGTTGCACACCATAACATGCATTTATTTATAGGATTCCAAAGACCGGAAAAAAGATAAACTGCGGAATAAGAGCTTTGAAGATACCTCCGATTAACTCCTACAGGCCACGGTGGTAGCATCAAAGGTGAAAGATTAGGGTGGCATGAAATAGTGAAACAAACAGAGATTCGTTGTTCAGATCCAAAGTTCACAGCAATGCACACTGACCACCACGGCGTGTTTTTGGAATACCTGCTGAACTGCAGTTGTCTGCTAAGTCAACTCGACGACGGCTAAACTTACAGGGCTGAGCTCATGCAGCAGAATGAACTGAGATGTGGCCTGTCTGTGCCTGTACTCGAATAGCGCTTCCCTACCCCAGTCCTTTGAGCTGTTGTCTCTGTCACTTCGGGAAATTCGCATCAAGACAGCGGATGACAGGCTCATTTGGTTTGCAGGTAAAGTGGCGTAGAGCTTCTGCTCAGGCACACTGACTCTTTTAGGGTAGAGGTGTGTACACAGTACCTAGGATGGCTATTAACTGCTAGGACAGGATTTCAATCCTCGGTATATTTCAGTAGTGATATATCCATATTTGAACGGTAGTTTTGAAAACATTGTTTCATTTTTTTGTCATAAGCACGAGCGCCCTAACCAGTGAAACACGGAAGCTGTTTGAAATAATCTGTCCGGATGCTTACGTCCTCTTTGGATTGCTGGGAAAAATTACTCATGATCTCTCTCATGATCTGAGAGAATGTTGTTTTGTCCTTGTCCTCAGGCAACTAGACTGGGATCACAAAGCCGCATAAACTGTCTACCTCAGTTGAAGATTTGCGACACTGCTTGTCTTGTAATGCTCTCTGGCCGTTTCAGTAATTATTATTCTTATTATACTGTACCTCACATTTGAACGAGCATAATTTATAAGACTAACCAACGCATGAAATTGTCAGGAGGGAGCCATTTGCACTACCATGAGCCTAACCTTACCTACATCATGGGCGAAATGTGTATTCGGTGGATTGCTGTCTGATCGCCGTTTGTCAAATCGATTAGTACTACTGTCCGAAAGCTGAAATGCACTTCTGTCCATTAAATCGAATTGTATGATGAGGCTAAATGAATTTCACATGGCCCCACACCTAATTCGTTTAACTGCCATCCTATCGGGCTTATTTCGTATCATTTATACGTATAACAAGAAGACTCTGTAGTTGTTGGCGACAGAATATCCTAACCGTACACGTTAAATATGACTACAATTTCCGTACAAAGTTACCCATCTTCAAGGGATATAAACAAAGTAAGCAAAACGTGGTCAAACGCATCAGTTAATCTGTTTTCATACGGTGCTGTTTTGGATTATTCCGGATCTGGTCCATGAATTCTTAGAGACGACTGGACGAGTTATCCGTATTTCGAACGAAGCGTGGTGAATAAAAAATGTGGTAGGACTTCTGTCTCCTGAAATGTTGAAAAGATTCTTTACGAGACGTTTATGCCCCTACTAGTTTTAACTATTATACTGAGTTTGACTTAGAACGACGCTTGGTCCACAGCTATTTGCCTTCCATCTGCTGNCTTACGTCCTCTTTGGATTGCTGGGAAAAATTACTCATGTTTCACAAGAGTGATCTAAGAGAATGTTGTTTTGTCCTTGTCCTCAGGCAACTAGACTGGGATCACAAAGCCGCATAAACTGTCTACCTCAGTTGAAGATTTGCGACACTGCTTGTCTTGTAATGCTCTCTGGCCGTTTCAGTAATTATTATTCTTATTATACTGTACCTCACATTTGAACGAGCATAATTTATAAGACTAACCAACGCATGAAATTGTCAGGAGGGAGCCATTTGCACTACCATGAGCCTAACCTTACCTACATCATGGGCGAAATGTGTATTCGGTGGATTGCTGTCTGATCGCCGTTTGTCAAATCGATTAGTACTACTGTCCGAAAGCTGAAATGCACTTCTGTCCACTATATTGAGTTGTGTGGTGAGGCTAAATGAATTTCACATGGACCCACTCTTAATTCGTTTAACTGCATTCCTATCGGGCTTATTTCGTATCATTTATACGTATAACAAGAAGACTCTGTAGTTGTTGGCGACAGAATATCCTAACCGTACACGTTAAATATGACTACAATTTCCGTACAAAGTTACCCATCTTCAAGGGATATAAACAAAGTAAGCAAAACGTGGTCAAACGCATCAGTTAATCTGTTTTCATACGGTGCTGTTTTGGATTATTCCGGATCTGGTCCATGAATTCTTAGAGACGACTGGACGAGTTATCCGTATTTCGAACGAAGCGTGGTGAATAAAAAATGTGGTAGGACTTCTGTCTCCTGAAACGTTGAAAAGATTCTTTACGAGAAGCTTATGCCCCTACTAGTTTTAACTAGTATACTGAGTTTGACTTAGAACGACGCTTAGTCCACAGCTATTTGCCTTCCATCTGCTG